ATCGCACCTGCTGGTGGGTGCAACTCCCGCATGTTCCCTCGTTGGAGGCTTGAGCACGGATGTGGCTGCTACGGGGTTCCCCATAATACTATAATGACAATAAAAAAGGCCTGAAAGGCCGTCCTGTCCAGAAAGGGTTGGGCCCCACAGCCGCGCGGACGATTTTCGTCCTTCCCACCGCCGACGGGAATTTTCCTTCGCCAGCAGAGAGGCGGAGTTGGAGGGGATCCCACCGCGCCCGTTTTTTTTCCCATCCCCGGTCGTTTCGGTTTCCCGAACAGGAAAGTGGCAGAGGACTTTCCAATTCGGGCAAGGCGTTATGGGCGTTCGGTGAGGCTGCTGTGGACCTGGGTACAGGACGCCATTCCACGCCGCTGTCCTTGGGCGACGTTGTGTGGCGTGTGGCATCGTGGGTGGGGCAGCACCCGACAGAAGGGGTCGACTTCGGTTGGGGAACCGATGCAGCCCTTTTGCRACCGTTTGTCACGGCCGTTGCGGGCCGGTTGTTCCAGGGGACATTTCGACCGTTATCGACCTCCTTGTTTGTATCCACGGTGGAACCACGGGATTCCACGGTCCCACCTGGGAAAGGGCGAAGGCGATGTGGGGCGCAGCGAGCATGCTCTCTCGGAGTCCGTGGCTGTTTCGGGCAATGCACCCGTGTTCGTCACAGTCGATATGTCCGCCATAGCCGATCGTTGTTAAAGGTCGCGCCTACGGATCAGGGTATCGCTGCGGTTGCGTGTCTCTGTCGTTTGCGACATAGCCCTGTGTTGCGGGGGGGGGGGGGGGGGGGGGGGGGGGGGGGGGGGGGGGGTTGCGGTGGGTATTGGGAGACGTTGTGCGCCGTTGTGAAGCCCATGGACAGCGGTGTGGAAGACGTTGGGGACTGGGCAGGGCGAGGTGTGGTAGGCGACAATGAGGTTGACAATGACGACCATTTGTTCATGGTTTTTTTTATTGTTATACAATTGGTGATGCAGCGGAACAGGGCGACTCTTGCTGTTCTCAATGCAGCGGCTTCATCCTGTTCAGCTGCACACCCTGAAATGGGGGAGGTTCTTCTGCTCCTCGCTGGGGGCTCCCTGCACAGCGTTTCCCTTGTGTCCGCCGCCATGGAAAGCGTGAACAACCGACGGAGGAGACGATCCAGGAGTATGTGGGTTCTGGACCGCCATGGGGGGACGTGGAAAGATCTCCAGAAGGTCGGTGAGGCTCATGACAAGGTCTTCGTCCGGTTCTGCAGACTCCCTCGACCTCTGTTCTATGAAGTTGCACAGCGAATAACGCCACACATTCAGCGGAAGTTGACGAACTGGAGACAACCAATTCCAGCTGTACAGAAGTTCGCATGCGCGTTGATAAGATGGGCCACAGGAGGCTATTACCGGCAGACGAGCCACGGGATGGGGATGGGGCTGGCGAGTGTGTTGAGGAGTAACGAGGACGTTGCGGACGCCCTCATCAAGGAGTACGTCCACCTCATAAGGTTCCCTGAAGGACGCCGTTTGCAGGAGGTGATCGATGCGTTCGAGAGGAAAGGGTTCCCAGGGTGCGTGGGTGCGATTGATGGGGCACATCTATACATCGAAAAGCCAAAGAACGAGCGGGCAGAATGCTACTACGAACGCACGAGGCAGTTCTCGCTTGTGGCGCAAGTGGTGTGCGATCATGAGTGCATGATCCAGGATGTTTTCGTGGGGTGCCCAGGATCGGTGCATGACTCACGTGCCGTTCACATATCGCACCTTTACAGGGATGCGCAGGATGGGCGTAGGATATTCCATGGTGGCACATCTTTTCTTCATGACAGCACACCTGTCCGGCGTCCGCCGCTACGTTCTCAGGGACGTAGGGTACCCATTGCTGCCTTGGCTGATGACACCGGTTGGAGGAGACGAGCGCACGCCCCAAGAGGTGAATTTCGATGATTGCCACACGTCGGCGAGGAGTTGCATCGAACGCACGTTCGCACTTCTAAAGCGTGTGTGGCGAAATTTCTTGAGGCGACAAATCGGCAACATGAAGACGATCATGAAGGAGGTCATGGCCGTCTGCATCTTGCACAATATGATGGTCGACATGCGAATCGACGTCGACTTGGATGACCTTGACTCGGACGACGACGACGATCAAGCAAACTGTGGAAACTTTCGTTGTCGACGACGTCCGCGTGTCCAGCAGCCCACGAGGAACCGTCGGGACAGCTCGTACGGTACCGCCGAGGGTAGGGCGGCGAAGGCGAGGCTCATCTCGCACGTCAATCACCATGTGCGGGTGCATGGCCGACCACCTGCCAACCCCTGGAGACAAGCGCGAGCTGCGCCGTAGACACAAACAGGAAACGACAACGGAATGTTCTCTCTCTCTCTCTCTCTCTCTCTCTCTCTCTCTCGCCGTAGATAGATAGATAAATAGATAGATAAATAGATAGATAGATAGATAGATAGATAGATAGATAGATAGATAGATAGATTAGATAGATAGATACATAGATAGATAGATAGATACATAGATAGATACATAGATAGATAGATAGATAGATAGATAGATAGATAGATAGATAGATCTATCTATCTATCTATCTATCTATCTATCTATCTATCTATCTATCTATCTATCTATTTTTCTATGCATCTACCTTTCTTCCACCTGCGTATCTGACTATCTGTCCACCCATCTATCTATCCACCGATCTATCTATCTACCTATCTATCTGTCTATCCATCTGTCCACGCATGGAGCCTCTCCAATACATATGTGCGAGGGCATGTGCGTTTGTCGAAATCAGTCAGGCAATCTGCGTAGCACGGTGGTTGCACATGCAGACAGGAGGTCATGCTGTCATGAACGATATCAATTGGCATTCCAATGAGATTTCCGCGAAATCACTATTCAACCGTGTGGTATTTGGTTTGAATTTCATTTCTCTTGTTTTTTTCTCTGTCTTTCGCAGTGTTTCTCATTCGTGATGCGAATGTCTTCAAAACTGTCACGATCCGATGCTTTCATGAACGATATCGATTGCCATTCCAATGATATTTCTGCGAAATCACTTTTCAACCGTGTGCTAGTTCGTTTGAATTTCATTTCTCTTGTTTTTTTATCTGTCTTTCGCAATGTTTCTCATTCGTGATGTGAATGTCTTCGAACTTGTCACGAACCGGAATGTCTTTGAAAGTGGTTGGCATTCGTGATGTGAATGGCATTTGTGATGTGAAATGTTCGTAATGCGAGCAACGAATAGGTGGTGATGCAACTTCAAAACGTGATCATACTTTCATCACATTCATTCGTTTATCAATGGCAGAAGCAGATATGGACAAGCGAAGATGTATCTGCATATACATAACGAATGCAAATGTTGACGAGAAGCGACAAGCCGAAAAAACGATATTATTTCGAAAGTTCGAAAAAATGACGAGAACAAACGACAAGAAAACGAAAAAGACCACACACACGCATCCGCACTCAAGCAATGCCGCACCAATTATAGACCGGCAGACGAACAAAAATATTGTTTCTCATGACGAAATTTTTTCCTTCTTCCACTTCATTCTTACAAAAATCCCGAAAAAAAGGCGCTCAAAGCACCAACCAACATCGGCAATGGCCTCGTTCCGGCCATTGTTTCTCACATGAATACTACCACGTATCCAACCGGCGGTGCATCGTCACAACATGCTTGACACGTGGTCGTTTTGACACCCACGCTGGCAAAACAGCAACTACGAGGTCAGGGGACGATTGCTTCTCGCCGCGACCCGCACACACACACACACACACACACACACACACACACACACACACACACACACACACACACACACACACACACACACTCGATCGAGGTTCATGACGTTAGGGACATTACACGTCGCCGACGGCCCACTGCTACCCTCCTCGACTGCCCTAACAAAAGAAAGAAAAAAAGAAAAACGAAAAAAAAACAACGACCGACAGATCACCGAAGCACACGACGGTGACTCAAATGCAGACCTGGCAGCACATCTTGTCATCACAGTGCGGGGGATCTCCTCCCTTCTGCGCTGCTATGTCATTTTCCAACCTCTGCACACCCAACACCCCCCTCGCCGTGGAGCAAACGACAACCGACAAATGACCCGTGGCCCAAGCGACAACCTACATATCACCCTCTAACTGCTCCATACCCAACATGCAGATGGCCGATTCTCCCTCTAATCGCGCGACGACAACAAATCTGCGGAAAACCCATCAGCTGGAACATATCTGCTGACGTGGCAGCATGGCATATGATGATCTTGCGGGGTTGTCCTCCCTTCTGCGCTGCCGTGTCACCGTGCAACCGATCCATACCGAAGACGAAGATCTGTGAATCGACGTCCACGCAAGTGTGCTTCCCGAAAACGCCAGGGTGGTAACGTCCTAACCACCTTCGTGCATGACGCGACCGCATCACATCTTTCCTTGTGCTTCATCGCCGAACATGCAACGCTCCCCTTCACACTCACCACCGCCGACGCGCAGCCTTCAGATCGTCATCAGGACACCACGACTGCACAACGCCGTGCAAGTACTGCCTGCCCGGAGAGGGGGCTGCATGTGCGCCACGTAGAAGGCATTGGCGTGAAGCGCAGCCATGTGTTCATCAGCTATGGCGGACACCAGGTATCTAACGATGTCACCGACGACATCATGTTCTGGGAGACGCCAGTCGTCGGGAACGACTTCCGACAACTTCTTCACGTTGAGAATGACGTCCACCAGGTTGCCTTCCTTGTCGTACCCGAAACCGCCATCGATCTTCATCGCCACGGTCCCTTCCACGAGAACATAGTAGACACGACTATGGAGATCAGCCGTGTCAGGGCTGAAATCCATCCGTCCGCGAGGGTGGCAACGACGCTCCAACTTCAATTCCTGGACGACGATGGTTTTCCCGCCCACGATCTCCCGCACCACCTCCTCGACCCCCACCATCTCTCTCTCTCTCTCTCTCTCTCTCTCTCTCTCTCTCT